GATTGCACATAGAAGTTCCCAGGAAGAAAGCCAAAGCATACCAGCTTATTCTTTCACAGGTTAATAATTATCAGAACATCTGAGCTAATCACCCCAGAGGCCATCTACTTGCATTTTCTTAAAAAGCACAGAAATGCAAGCAATGGTTTAAGGTACCAGACTGCCAGCTTCCTCTCAGCCTAAGTTCTTCTTCATCTCTCTGCAATTCATCAAGTTGTCTTCTAACTAGTTCTGGACAACTCTTCTCTTCTATCCTATCTAAATGTCACTCCACCTATGAATTTTCTGCCACCAGCATTCTGGGTTTTTCCCATGACCTGCATCACAGCTTTAACTCCTGTCACTGTCACAATCTCAGTATCATTTCTAAATTCATGGAAACCACCACAGGAAAGAGAAAGAAAATCATAAAGAGCAAATAGAGGAGGAGGATTACAAGAACAAGTAACAGTTGGATGGGTGAGAACATGATACGCATACGCCATAAAGTCTGCCCTCGGGACACAAGGGTTGTTCTCTCCCTGGCCCACAGAAGGCAGGCTTAGTATAATATCTGGTGGGGCAGGCCTGGAGGGATTGATGTCCTCATTCTCGGGTACCTCCAACACAGATTCCACTGGCAACACATCAGGCTTTTCATATGCCATCTCCAGCACATACTCATGCTCCCAGTCCATTCTGATGGAGGCAGTTCCTCAAATGAAGTTTTCTCCTCCAAAAGGACAATGGTTTGTATCTTATTGACCAATAATAACCAGCACTACATAATTGGGAACTAGTCAACATCAGAACATAACTGAGGCTGCAGCACAGAGCACACAGTGCTAAGCACAAAGGCCTCTTCAGTCTCATGCAGCTCATTCTCCCTTCCTTCTTTCAGGGCCCATTTTCAACAGAGCCATGGGTCAGTTATTCTCTGATACATCCAAGAATGAAGACAGTGGAGATTTTGAGTCCATCTTCATTGCATATTTTAAGAAAATTAAGATGGAAAACAAAATCATTCCTCAGGAAGCCATCCATTTAATAGAATTACATCTGAAAAAGGAAACATTCAGGGGGCACACTCTGTAATCAGTGATGCATTAAAAAATATTGATAACACCCCAATCAACATTGCTGTGACAGGAGAGTCTGGAGCAGGGAAGTCCAGCTTCATCAATGCCCTGAGGGGGGTTGGACATGAAGAGGAAGATGCAGCTGAAGTTGGAGTAGTAGAGACAACTAAGTGGAGAACTCCGTACCAACACCCCACAATTAAAACTTTGACTTTATGGGACCTGCCTGGCATTGGAACTATGGACTTTCCGCCAAAAGATTATTTGGAAAAAGTGAAACTCCAAGAGTATGACTTCTTCATTATTGTTTCTGCCACATGTTTTACAAAACTTCAACTAGACCTTGCCAAAGCAATCAGATTCATGAAAAAGAATTACTACTTCGTGAGAACCAAGGTGGACACTGATTTAAACAATGAAAAGGAATCCAAACCACGGACCTTTGACAGAGAAGAGATCCTACAGCAGATCAGAAGCTACTATGTAAATTCCTTTAGTCAGAATAACATGGAAGCACCACAGATTTTTTTTTTATTTCTAACAGCCATTTATCTGACTATGATTTTCCAGTTCTGATGGACACCCTGATAAAGGATCTTCCTGTCCAAAAGTGCCATAATTTTATTCTTTCTTTGCCTAATATCACGGAGGCAGCCATTGACAGAAAGCACAAGTCTATGCAGCAGTATATCTGGTTGGAAGCCTTCAAGGCTGGAATTTTGGCTACTTTTCCTGTAGTGGGCATCATCAGGAATGATGTAAAGAAATTCAAGGAGAAGTTAAACCACTTTCGAGTCCTCTTTGGAGTGGATGATGAATCCCTGGAATTCATGGCTAAGGATTCCAAAGTGCCTGTTGAACAGCTGAAAGAAATCATTAAATCTCCTTATTTGTTGGAAACTAAGAATGAAGAAATATTAGCAGAAACATTTTTGAAATATGTGGAGAAATTTGCCTCAGCTAATGGTGGGCTCCTTGCTACAGGTCTTTACTTTAGGAAAGCCTTTTACATGCACCTTCTTTTCCTTGACACAGTGACTGAAGATCCCAAAGTTCTCCTTAGAGAAACATTAAAAAAAAAAAAAAAACTAGTTCAAACTCACCTCATCCACAGCTACTCACCATTACAAGATCAATAGTTAATACCAGGGAGTCAATTAGATAAATTCCTCCTTTTATCTTTTCTTTATACTATCCAATCTACCATCACCATGAGAAAACCTATTGTTTATTAATACTTCAGAATCTGACAATCTCCAGGTGCAACTAAAATCTCTACATTCCTCCCTGTCTTTCAACTGCACATGCATACTTGAATACACAGACACAGACACAGACACACACACGTATACACAACATACACTCGCACACACAGACACACACACACAGACACAGACACACACACACACACACACACACACACACACACACACACTACATAAAGCACTTTGTATGCCAGGCAGATATAAGGAGCAACTCTCGATTTCCAGAAACAACATAAATGGTGAGTGGGTGTGGCATCCACCTTGTACTTCCACATTCAGAAGACAGAGACAGTGGAACCATGGAGCAAGCTGACTGCTAGAGTGTGTACATCTGCAAGCTCTGGGTTCAGTTGAGAGACCCTGCCTTGATGAAAAAGATAGAAAGTGATTGAAGATGAGGCCCAACATAAGCCTGACATGTGCACACACATGTGAACATTCTCACCATACAGACAGATGCTGAGAGCCTTGCTCCTAGCAGGTCCGACAACCTGGGACAGATGTGTGAGGTCAGCAAAATGAAGAAAATAATGACCACCTGTTTCAAACAAGTGACCCCCGGATAGCCTGAGCTGTTTTTATTCATTCAGTTTCAATAGTTTGCATGAACAGTTTTACTATCATGTTTCTTTCCTTAAGTTTATAATAATAATTACAATAGTTGCCAGTTTGCTCCCTTAGCTCATTCCCCTTCTGATGCCCAACTCTCCCACCAGTAATCATTACCTACTTGATTCGTAGCTTTAATGTTAGAAACATAAGCAATCTGGCAAGCAACAAAGAAAGTTTTCTAACTAGGCGCACCTGCAGGTAGAACAGCGTGCCAGCTCGCAGCATTTGCAGTTACAGTATCATATGCAAAGTGAAAGAGAGTTTTGCCTCTAGTGGTTAATGTTTAGCTCTAGTCAAATCTAAGTTCTCACAATGAACTCATCAGCCAAACCTGAATCAATTTATTCTTCATTCTATCTCCTATGGGGGAATATATGAGGTTTTTTCCTATCATCCTGTAAACTACATAATTTAAAGGCTTACTTCTAAAAGCTGACATTACTTATTTCTCTTTTCTCATATTTCCTTCCTTTCAGCTTCCTTCAGAGTTGACTCCTACAGAATTGGCACAACTATTAGAAATAAGGATGTTGTGTGTTTTTATGATACTGCTTTGCTCTCTGTTTCTAGACTGTTCCCATTAACTTGATATCATCTATTCATCTGCATTTCTCTTAGACTCCTGTGGTTAGGATCAATCTCTCTAGAACAATTATACAAATTTATAATGACATAAACTACTGTGACTCACTGGTCTACTCTGGTGACCACCTAGCAAATAACCTAGCTGTCTTCATAGAGCCTTTGTCCAGTGACTGATGGAGGCAGATGCAGATATCCACAGCCAGGCACCAGGCTGAGCTCTGGGAATCCAATTGATGAGAGAGAGGAGGGATTCTGCAGGTGAGGGACGTCGAGATCATGATGGGAGGACATTCAGAGATGACTGGCCACACTAGTGGAAGCCCATCAACTGTGGACTGGTGGCTGTGGAGCCCCCATGGGACTGTACTGGGTCTTCTGGATACAGAAGAGGGTTGTTTGGCTCGAACTGTTTGGGGGCACCCAGGCAGGGGAATGGGGGTCTGTCCCTGGTGCATGGGCAGGCTTCTGGGAATCCAGTGCCTGTGGTGTGATGCCTTGCACAGCCTTGGTGCAGTAGGAAGGGGCTTGGACCTGCCTAGGCTCAGTGTGCTGGGCTCTGCTGACTCCCCATGGGAGACCTCGATTTAGGAGATGTGGGGATGCAGGGTGGCTTGGGAAAGAGGGCTGGGGGTTTGAGGAGGGAGGAGGGGGGATCTGTGGATAGTATGTGGACTGAGTAGAAAATTTCTTAATAAAGAAAAGTGAAAAAAAAACTACTGTGACTCTTTCAGACTTGTCACAAGGTGCATTGAAAAGGCACCATTCTGGTTTTGAGAATCCTGAATTCATGCTTTAGAAGTTGAACATCTCCACTGGTTCACCCAAAGGAGAGTCATCAGGGTGAAGTTTTCCTAATGCAAAGGCCATTTCATCGATGGCTCTAAAAAGTGAGAAAAGAGGCAGCCAGCAACATAATTTTTGTAAAGAAAGCAAGAAGAGCAGATAGCACATATGCTCCTGGGGTCCTGCCCAGAATTGTGCAGCAAACAATCCATCAGCCTTGCCAAAAATGGGTTAAATTCTCCCAGGCCTTGCCACAAGGAGTACTTGTTTGTATTATTCTCAGTCTTTGTCCTCCAAAGAAGTCACATGGCTCTTTGACATGACACATTTTAAATATAAAATAAAATAAGACTCAGGAAGTAAAAACAAAAAAATCACAAGTCTTAGAAAGCATGGAGACATAAGCTCTCCTCAAGGTTATATAATCAAAAAGCATTCTGTGGGAGTAAGGATTTCAGAGCAGCTGAGGTTCCTGAAAATCATGCAGGGGGCTCCATGGCTGCAGCTGTGGTGAATCATTGCCATGCTGGGATGTGTTTTTTCAGGGATGCAGCTGCCTCTGACTGGTCAATGTTCTAATAAGTAACGCTCACCCTAATAAACTCACTCATTCGCCAAACTAGACTTGAAAGATGTTTCCTTGATCTGTTGTGGGTACCTAGATGGGAGGAAGAGATATTTATTTGTATCTCCCCAGGAACAATACTACAACACAAATTGATACCCTGAATATGGACCAGAAGAACCAAAGATGAATTGAAGAGGACTAGTTGTCTTATCCTTACAAGTAGGTGCTGATATATAGGAAGTGAGATGGCACCTGTGTTCAGCCTTCTCAATCCTATACCCAGACATATCTGAATAGAAGCTACACACAAAAGGGTAGATCTTGGAGGGTTGTTGGAACAGATAATCCTGTCCATTGTCTGTAGTGGGTGTAGATGCAGCACAACTGGAGGTGGGTAATGTCATAGGATGGTAGGTGCCATGTTAAAATGGGGAATTGCATGCATCATGCATGCAGGTGAAGGTCCTAGATTGCCCAGTGCATTATCAGAAGAGGACTGTATGTAAAACCCAAAGCAAGTGGAGCCCAGATTGCTAAGCTATCCTCGTGTTCTTGCCCACCTCAAGGGGAGGACAGAGGGCAATGAAAAGTTCTAATAAAACCTTAATAAACTCACTGACTCATTAGAACTGACATGGGTGGAATCACTTCTTTAATTTGTCCTCAGTGCACTTCTGTGGTCTGAAGAGACATTTCTTTCTCTCTTCCCAGGAAAAGTCACATAATAAGACAGATGTTCTAGTGTAAGTAGCCATTGTCAAATATGGAATTTGGTGTCACAGGCCCTAAGTAGTAATTTGTCTTAGTTTGTTTCTCTGGTGATGTGATTAAACTCTAACTGTCAGAACCCAGTCCATGAAAGAAGCTGTGTGAGGAGATTTCTGAGAGATTGTGAGGAAACTCCAAGCAAACAAGACAAAGCCTCCCTGGCAAAAGCCATGATCATATTTACATATTTACATACAAGAGTCCTGTACCTCCGTTCCTCCACAGCATGGATCTGTTCTTGGAATGTGCTGTCATGCCCATCTCAGGTGTAGTAAATGGGAGTGGGTTTACCTTAGATTACCCATTGTCTTACCCATTATTACTCAGAATGATGTTTCTAATTACAAGTTGTCCTCATGACTGCATAAGGCCTAAACTCATGTGACCTTGCCTTTGTGACTGTACATAACATGAATGCAAATGAACTTTGCTCACAGGACCTGGCTTATACTGACAAAATACCCTCAGAATATAAATTGTCTGATGCCCTGAATTAAATTGGCATGAGACTTTAGGCTGCCTCATTTTTAGGAGCCACTCTCTTAGGTTCACACCACCAAACAGAAAGGAAACTCTAACCAAACGCAACTTGGGGGAGGAAGGGATTTAACTGGCTAGCAGGTTACAGTGCATCATCAAGGGAAGCCAAAGCAGGTACTGAAGCAAAGACTGGGAAGGGACACTGCTGACTGACTTGCTCTCCAGGGCTTGCCCATCCTGCTTTCTCCCACAACCCAGGACAACTTTCCTAAGGCTGACATTCACCACAGTGGGCTGGGTCCTCTTACATCAAGAAAATACCCTACAAACATTCAAACAGGCCAATCTGAGGCAGTTCTTAGACTGAGATTCTGTCTTCCAAGTTAGGCAGTGTGGTTCATGCCTCTAATTTCAGCATGATTCCCCATTCCCTGGTATAATTATATTCATGTCAAAGCCTCCCTGGCCAAAGCCATCATCATATTGAATAGATTATTCCAGTTCCCCATATATCTACCACATTCTTCTCTTCCAATTTTCAATCATTCTTATAGTATTGAAAGTCCCAGGAGCCCCCCTGTGATAACCAGAGACAGAAGCATACCCTGTACTGAGTAGGAACAGGTAAGGCCCCATCTCCGGACTGGGCAGACCACGTCCCTAGTCCATAGGCCATGGGGGCACATCCTGTACCACTCCCCCAAGCCATTGGAGCCCCAGGGACTGGCCAGCTGCCCCTTCCCCAGCTCCCTCGCCAAGAAAACAGCCCCCTGTGACACCAGGGAAAGCCGGAGTCACAAGTCCAAACTGCACGAATTGGAACAGGTAAGGCCCCATCTCTGGACTGGGCAGATGAGGTCCCTAGTCCCTAGGCCCTGGGGGCACATCCTGTGCCCCTCCTCCAAGCCATTGGAGCCCCAAGGACTGGCCAGCTGCCTCTTTCTCCGCCCCCTTGCCAAGAAAACAGCCCCCTTGACAGCAGTAAAAACTGGAGACATTAGCACATCCTGCATAGATTAGAAACAGCACAGATTGGACCAAGAGCCCAGATTATGCCAAGAGCTCCCATTAGACCAAGAGTATCAACCAGACCAAAAGAGGCTCCCTCAGACACAGACAGTACTTGTACAGAGTGGAGGAAGAGATGGGAAGATGCCAGTGCAAAAATGCAGTCAACAACATGAAGACCAATACAGCACCATCAGAACCTATTGGTGCTACATCAGCAAGACCTGAACATTCCAAAGCAGAAGAAATAGACCTTTAAAAGGAACTTAAGAAGATGATATAGACTTTTAAAGAGGAAATGAAAGCTGCCCTTAAAGAATTCAAAGAAAAGACAAACAAAAATTTGGAAGAAATCAATAAATCCCTTAAAGAAAGCCAAGAAAAAGCAATTAAACAGGTAAATGAAACAGTCCGAAATTTGAAAACTGAAATAGAGGCAAAGAAAACACAAACCGGGGGAAGGCTGGAAATGGAAAATCTGAATAAATGAACAGGAACTACAGATGCAAGCATAACCAACAGAATGCAAGAGATGGAAGAGAGTATCTCTGGCATTGAAGATACAATAGAGGAAATATATTCATCAGTCAAAGAAAACACTAAAGCCAAAAAAGTCATAACACAAAATGTCCAGGAAATTAGAGACAACATGAAAAGACCAAACCTAAGAATAACAGGGACAGAAGAAGAAGAATACCAACTCAAAGGCACAGAAAATATATTCAACAAAATCATAGAAGAAAACTTTGCCAAGTTAAAGAAAGAAATGCCAATGAAAGTACAAGCTTACAGAACACCAAATAGACTGGATCAAAAAAAAAAAAAAGACCCCTTGCCACATAATAATCAAACCACTAAACATACAGAATAAAGAAAAATTATTAAGAGCTACAAAGGAAAAAGGCCAAGTAACATATAAAGGCAGACCCATAAGAATAACACCTGACTTCTCAATGGAGACTCTGAAAGCCAGAAGGTCCTGGACAGATGTTATGCAGACACTAAGAGACCATGGATGCCAACCCAGACTATTATATCCAGCAAAACTCTCAACTGCCATAGATGGAATAAACAAAATATTCCATGATAAAACCAGATTTAAACAATATCTATCCATAAATCCAGCCCTACAGAAAGCAATAGAAGGAAAATTCCAACCTAAGGAAGTTAGATACAATCATGAAAATACAGGCAATAGATAATCCCACACCAACAAATACCAAAGAAGAGAAACACACAATACTACCACCAAAAATAACAGGAATTAACAATCACTGGTCATTAATATCCATTAATATCAATGGTCTCAGTTCGCCTATAAAAAGACACAGACTGACAGAATGAATACGAAAACCGGATCCATCCTTCTGCTGCATACAAGAAACACACCTCAACTTTAAAGACAGACACTACCTCAGAGTAAAAGGCTGGGAAAAGACTTTCCAATCAAATGGACTTAAGAAGCAAGCTGGTATAGCTATCCTAATATTTAATAAAATAGACTTCAAACTAAAATCAATCAAAAGAGATCGGAAAGGACATTACATACTTATCAAAGGGGAAATCCACCAAAATGAAGTCTCAATTCTGAACATTTATGCCCCACATACAAGGGCACCCACTTATGTAAAAGAAACATTACTAAAGCTTAAGTCACACATCAAACCCCACACACTACTAGTGGGAGACTTCAACACCCCGCTCTCACCACTGGATATATCTGCCAGATTGAAACTTAACAGAGAAATAAAGGACCTAACAGAAGTTATGACTCAAATGGACTTAATAAATATCTACAGAACATTCCACCCTAACACAAAAGAATGTAACTTCTTCTCAGCACCCCATGGAACCTTCTCTAAAATTGACCACATGCTCAGTCACAAAGCAAATCTCAACAGATACAAAAAAATTGGAATAACCTCCTGTATTTTATCAGACCACCATGGCTTAAAGTTAGATTTCAACAGCAACAAAATTTACAGAAAGCCTACAATCTCATGGAAACTGACTAATGCTCAACTGAATTGCTACTGGGCCAAGAAAGAAATAAAAAAAGAAATTAAAGACTTCCTAAGAGATCAATGAAAATAAATATACTGCATACCCAAACTTATGGGATACTATGAAAACAGTCCCAAGAGGAAAATTCATAGCACTAAATGCCCACATAAAGAAGATGGAGAAATGTAGCATGAATCTTAGAAAGTTCTTATTAATAAGAACAAACCTGAGGCCAGTTATTGGGGTGAACGCTGGAAGATCAGAGAGACAGAACAGGCCACAGCCACCTCACCTCACCAGTTCCTCAACTGATCCTGTTTCCTCAGGCTGGAAGCCTCTGAGTCCTCATCCAGAATGAATCTCAGCTGAACTGCTGCTCCAAAGCAGAGATCTAGGACCTCCCTGATCAACAACTCAGGAGTGGGCATTCCACATCTTGTACTCAGCTTTCATTCGATAAGCTGTATCTTCTTCAATGAGCATTTCACCTTCACTTATACATATAGTGACTCCAGTTAAACTCCTTAAGCACACATAAAACAGTCGATTTCAGTCTAGTGTTTTCAGACATACTCAATGATTCCTTCACCCATCCCTTCTCCTCTGCCCTGCCTTTCCCACCTTCCTGCCCACTTAAACTCCTCCCCATTATCCACTTGTGTTCTGCCAACCCCCTTGATATTAGTCAGGGTTCTCTGAAGGATGAGACTCAATGGAGTGAATGTATGTGTGATGTGTACATAATATACATACTATATGTGTAATATATAAAATAATATCTTAAGACAGCTTAAATTGAAACAGTATCAACAGGTGAATCCCAGCAAAGAGGCTGAGAATCTGCTGTTGCTCAATACTTGAGATGGGGTACCTCAGCAGTTAGTATCTTCTCACTAGGCAGGTCATCGCCCTATAGTTGCTCAGGTCATAAGGCTGGTTACCTCCTCAGTCCCAACTAGCACTGAAAACCTGGAAGCTTCCTGGAGAGTCACTGATTCAGAGTCCAGGACATGTCCCTGGAAATGTTTGCTCTGATATCAGTGAAGGAATCAGCAGCAAAGACAGGGTAGTCAACCTGCAGTAAGAGGGAAGGCCAAGCCAGCACAAGGCAAGTGATCATCCCCTGCCTTACCCTTGGCAGCTGAGCTGGTCTTCTCTACCAACCAAGACAATCAGGACACATCTTCGGGTAAGGCTCCATATAAAGAGATTCTAATTTCTTGCCAGTTGACATTAAAAATCAACCACAATATCCTCTATTAAGATGTTTCTTCCCTTCTTGTGGGACTCCTAACAGTGGGTAGAAGAATATCTCTGACTCTATAGTCTGCACTTGGGTCCCTTTTACTCCTTTTACCTCATCTAGCATTGCTAGGAGAGGTTGTGCCTAGTCTTATTGCAATTTGTTATTCGTGTTCAGTTTAATATCCCTGAGAGGCTTGCATTGTGTTTGTTTGTTTTAGCATTTGGAGAAGGAGAGGGAAAGGTGATGATCTATAGTTTGCCTTCCTGCTTCCCCAGCCAGAATCTTGTTTGTTTTCTTAGTCTTAGCCATTCTGACTGGGATTAGATAAAATCTCAGATAGTTTTAATTTGAAGTTTCCTGGTGACTAGGATGGTGAACACTCTTGAATATTTCTACTCATTTGTGTTTCTCCTTTTGAGTATGCTCTGGCCAGTCCCATAATGAATTTTAATTGGATTGATTGTTTTCTCAGTGGGTTTTTTTTTATGGTTTTGCATATTCTTTACAGTGGTCCTCTAACTGATTTAATGCTGGTGAAGATTTTCCCCCATTCTGAAGGCTGCTACACTAGAATAACAGTTTCGTTCATGGTTTGTGAGCATTTTAACTTCATGAAGTCATGCTTCTTGATTGATGGCTGCATTTCCTGTGTGGACAGAGTTCTATACAGAAAGATCTTAACTGAATCTGTATCCTAAAATATACTCCTGATAATTTGCAACAGAAGGTTCAGAATTTTAGGTGTAACTGTTCTGTTGGAAGTTCCACCTCAGCTCCCTCCTCCCCCTCTAAATCCAACCCCTCAGAAAGGACACTAAGCAGTGGCTCCTCCCCAGAGCTGCTCAAAACCAAGTCTACAGAGTACTTAAGTTCTATTCCATTTACCTGCCATATGATTTCTCTTCCTTACTTCCCTTGAGGTCACCCAGGAGTGCTCTGCTCAGATTCAACCTGGTCTTGTTAATCTGACTTGATTTGACTTATTGCATACAGGGAGAAACACCCATTAAGGGGGAGTCAAAATACTTATCAGTAACCGTGAAGTCTTTGATGAAATTGAAACTGATTTTTGGACAAGGTGAGTGAGAATAACAAAGTTTCATCTTCTGCATGATAAATACAGAGTTTTCTCAACACAGTTTCTTGAAGATGCTATATATTCTCCAGTATTTATCTTTGCCATACATGACAAAAAAAAATCAGGTGATTGTAGGTATGTGGATTTATACCTAAGCCCCTGGTACTAGTCCTTTGATTAATCAATGCTTTTGTGATGGGACCATGCTATTTTTACTACTATAACTAGAAATTAGTGTCTTAGATTTTGAACAGTGAAGAGACACCATGACCAAGGCAACATATAAAAGAAAACATTTAAATAGAGAATAAGAGGGTCAATGGATGCACATCATGACTATGGCAGCAAGCAGGCTTTGTGCTGGGGCTGAAGGTAAGACTTGGGCACTCTACACTCCTCTCAATATGCATCCACTGAGGGATGTGTAATATCCATCACATACCATCAATAAGTTGTAGACTGACTCCAAAAACTACGAAAAGAGGTTTCTGAGCCCTGTGGATATGCAGAAAAGAGAACACTCAGTCCCTGCTGGTGGGAGGGCAAACTGGTACAGCCACTAAGGTGATCTGTGAGGAAGCTCTACAGACAGTGAAAATAGATTTCCCACAAGATCCAGCTCTGTCACTCCAGGGCATATTCCCAAAGAATTCTATATCCAACTACAGAGCTACTTGTGTATCCATGTTCATTTATGCTCAGTTCACAATATCCAGGGAATGGAAACAGTCTGGACACCCATCAGCTAAGGAAAGGGTAATGAAAATGTGGACCCAGGGCAGAATGGGATATCACTCAGCTGTTAAGCAAACTGAAACTTAAAGTTTATGGGAGAATAGATGGAGCTGGAAGCATCCTTCTGAGTGAGGTAACACAAGCCCAGAAAGATAAACATCATTTCATTCCTCTCATTTGTGGATGTTAGCTCCCACCGTTCAAATATGTGTGATGCATTTGGAATATCCACAGAGACTTTGAAATTACTATGTGGCCATTGGGTGGGACCATGAAGGGAGGAGAGATAGTATACACTGGTAGAAAGGGTTAAAAGAAAATTACAGTTCAAGAAAGGTTAAAGTGAGGGGAGGCAGATAAGGTAGAGGAAAGAAAATGGGAGGGATAAAGAGCACTGAAGGATTTTTTTTCTTTTCTTTTCAGAGCTGAGGACCAAACCCAGGGCCTTGTACATGCTAGGCAACCGCCCTACCACTGAGCTAAATCCCCAACTCCAGTACTGAAGGATTTTAAACAAGTCATATAGAAACCTACCTCTGCATGCATTTCCTAAACATGGTATGTACTCACTCATAAATGGATACTATATGTAGGACAAGGATTGGCCAGACTGCAGCCCATGGCTTTGGAGAGGCTAGCTGACAGTAGGGACTCTGGGAGGGCCACATGTGTAACCCAGGGAAGTAGAAGTGGATGGGATCTGCATGAGTGGGCTGGGGGTGGGGAGTTGGCAGAGGCCAAGGCATGGGGAGTGAGAACATAGGGGAATGGGAGGGTCGAGCTGGAGTGGGGACAGAGTGGGAGAACAGGGAAGAAGACACCATGATAGATGAAGACATCATGGGAGTGGGAAGAGGCAGGGTGCCAGGGAAACTCTCAGGAATCCACAGGGATGACCCCACCTTGGACAGCTGGCAGTGATCAAGGGGGTGCCTGGACTGGTCTACTCTGGTGACCAGTCTAGTGAATACCCTAACTGTCATCATAGAGCCTTTATCCAGTGACTGATGGAGGTAGATAAGGGATGTGTGATAGGGCACCAGGGTAAGCTCTGGGAATCTAGTCGATGGGAAAGAGGAGGGATTCTAAGGGCAGGGGACTTCCAGATCATGATGGGAAGACATGCAGAGATGACTGGACACACTGATGGAGATCCATGAACTGTGGATTACTGGTTGTGGAGCGCCCATGGAACTGAAGTAGGCCCTCTGGATATGGGAGAGAGTTGTTTGTTTAGCTTGAATTGTTTGTCAAGTACCCGGGCATTCGATCGGGATCCATCCCTGGTGCATGGGCAGACTCTTGGGAGCTTGGTGTGGTGGGGAGGGGCTTGGACCTGCCTCTGCTCAGTGTGCCTGGCTCTGCTGACTCCCCATGGGAGACCTTGATTTGGAGGATGTCGGGATGGGGGTAGTGGTGACTTGGGAGGGAGGGCTGGGGGGTGAGAGGAAGTGGGATCTGTGGGTGGTATGTAGGGTGAGTAGAAAATTTCTTAATAAAAAAAATGAAAAAAAAAATCAGAGGGCCAGAACTTTGTTCTGTCTGACTGGAGACACGGGCCAGGAAGGAGTGGGTAAAGAGAATGCCCTGAAAGGGAAGCTAAACCTGATTAAATAAACACCATTGCCTAATTTCTTGTTTAAAGGGACAGTCACCCACAGGACACAGACAGACAGATGTCCCTGCAGCACACAGGCTGTTCTATCTCTTCAGTTCCCTCTCATTCTTTCAGTTCCAGCTCCTGGATTTGTGATGCAGACTCCAGTGTGACGGTTGTCTTCAAGGTCTGTCCACTGAACGTGAACACAGGGAATGAGAAGGCTGTGACACAGCAAACATTATAAAAGGAAGCCTGCCTAAGTGACAGCTGCCACCACATCCTGACACATACCTACCAGTGTACTCATGGCAAAATGTCTTGGGAGTAAGCAACTGCTTCCTGATTGGATTCAATAGTTTCTCCACAAGATGAAACCTGTATCTGGGCAAGAACCTAAGGCTAGACAGATCATAGACCCTAGGTGAGAATTATTATTATTTATTATTATTATTATTATTATTATTATACTTCATGGACATAATATTAAGTCACTTCCTAATGAGTTATCATTATACCTACAAAATAAGGCATCTCTCACCCTTCATCATGGAAGCTTGTGGTTGCAGTAGATGATCATCAGTCCAGAGACCCACAACTGGCCAAGATTCAGAGAATAAAACACTGAGGAATATCCAGCCCTAAATGGAAGATGTTAATTCTACCTCCAAAGGCACAGGGATGGCTGTGGAAGAAGGAGTGAAAGGACTGGAAGAGCCAGAGTTGGTGGACGATGACAGGGAAATGGTGTTGTCTGGACACAGCAGCACAGCTCCTTGTATGAACTCACCATGGCTGTGACAGCATGTGTAAGACCTGTTGAGCCCAAGCTGGACTGAATACTAACATAAACAGGGGAGTTGAGAATGACAAGGATTAATGAACATGAATTTACCATCATGAGAAAATAAGGTTGTAGTCAGAGGGGAGAAAATGAGTTTTGTCTTGAATGAGATTAAAACTGACATCTGCACAGGAGTCTGCACAATGTTTTGTGTGATCAGTTCAGGGTGCATTTGTGGAGTCAGGGATCAGAAAAATTATCTTTCAAGGGTTTGTGTTCCTGTTTATATGAACTGCTTCGCCATGTTCCCCCCTGTTTCCAATGCCCACATTCCACTGCTTCATTGTTTTAGGACATCCCAGGCTGTGCCGCCAAGGAATTAAGACACAATGGAATGAAAAACAACCAATAGTTTCATTTTCTCTTTCTTCTTCTTGGAAATGCAGCAGATTCCCAAAAAATAACAAGATCCGAGAGCTTTGACGATTGGCCAAAACACACTGAGAGGGAAGGGGCGGAAGGCAGCAGAGTGTATAAGTCCTGCAGAATTGCCTTAGCCTGCTGCTTTCCATGGAAGAAGCAGAGGTGAGTGTCAAGTGAAGAGACTGGAGTGCAGTGGAGAGTGGTTCCTGTAGCTGAACTACAGTGAGCAAATCCACTGGACACAGGATAATCTGGTAAGTGGAAAGCAGCGTTCAGATCTAACTTCTAACCCTCACCATATTTTTTCTCATAACAGCTAATAGGTAACAAGACAGTAGGAACATGCCCTGAGAGTGAGGGTTCTCAGTTTGGAAGCTAAGGAGCTTTGGTGGGAAGCAGTCAGGACAGGCTTGTGGATAAAGTCTTAGCTAATTACTCAAGTTGAGGTAGACCTAAAGCCAATGATCTTGATACTGTTTATGGCTTGTCTCTTATTTTTCTCCCTAAAATGGTTGTGGATAGATGATTCAGGTAATGGAATATTTCTGCAGTGTGTATGAGAGTTGTTGTATCTGAAACATAGTGAAAGGATGGTGAATGATAGAGACAGGTACATATTTACAATGTACACATAAATCCTGAATCCTGCCTAACTGAAGCAGAACCTAGAGAAAGGTGATTAACAGCCATGTGGCTACTGGGTAGAGCACAAAGACATGGAAGCAGTCACAAAGTACAAAGTGCTGAAATGAGAAGACAGCCTGAGATAACAGAGAGGCTAGAATTCAGACACCATCAGCTTCAAATGTGTAATAATGGAGTTCAAAGGTTTGTTGTATGTGGTGTGTGCACTGGATAACTAGTGAATGACCCCTGACTGAAATAGGAATCCCTGTGGTGCCTCTCAGAATTGACTTGACATGGTATGACTTCAGTGTCAACAGGATTAACTGTGACTGTTTGATCATCCATGTTGTTACAAGAACAGTCACAGGAAATATAATCAAACATAACATAGTCAAAGCTGGAGTTGAGGAAGTCTTGAAGAAGATAATGTAGGAGGAATGATCAATTGTGATTGGATTTGGAAACTGATTTGATGTGGGTAAGACAGACAGAGGAGGCCCCACGGTGACAGTGGGGATTGCTGTTTTCTTTTTGTTGTTGTTGTTTTCTTTCTTTTTTTTTTTTTTT